TCGAGGGGAAGAAGAGAAGAGATGGTGATCGAAGATACTGATCCGCGTCGACGACCGACACGCGACACGTCCATTGTTTGCATATAAAGGCAAACCAGGCCGGATTCACGTTCGATCGAGGCCTTCGCAGGTATCGAGGCCTTCTCAAACGTGCTTCGATAACGCGAGACACAGAAAAAAAAATCGCATAATGGCAAATTTGAAGCAGAAAAAGACACAAGTCTCACCTTGCAGGAGGCGTGCCGGCACCGAGACATCCACCGAGACAGGCTCGAGGAGACATGGGGAGTCAGAGAGAGAGAGAGACAGCGAAACGGCACAGGCGACGGCGCACGCGGATCGGGAAGTCACGTGGAAAAACGTGAAATCCTCTTCCTCGTTTCCTTTCCTGGCTGGGCCGAATTCCGTGCCGGCTCGCCTACTCCCCGAGTCTAAAATGGAAATAAAATCCACGTTGAAAGGCGATGGACAAACGAATTGCGAAACGGATGAAATTTAAGTCGGGACTTTAAAAAGCGAGGAGGAGGCCACTGGAGCAGAAGCGCACGGAGAAAGCGGAAGGCACAGACTGAAAGGAGGTAGAAACCGGGACACCCTCGGGGCATAACGGAGCGTCTGCCTCCCCCCCCGTCCATCCATCCGTCTTCCATCCTTCCTTCCTCCATTCTCCACCCTCCTCCCTCCACCCTCCACCCTCCTCCCTCCATCCATGCCCATTCCGTGTGATCGCCTCGGTCTGCCTTGCGTCATGGGGCAGCGACTCCGTTAGCGCGTGTTCCAGCCTCGTCGAAGTGCGATTTCGACTGTGGAGGGTGGGGCGAGGAGACCGGGATGCGCTCAGCGTCGTTGGCACTTCCAACATATCAATACAAACCTCCATCCATAAATACCGATCACTGTGTTGAAACCCCGAATGGCGGCAGACACTTGCCGAGACGGGATCGCGATCTCGATGGGAGCGATCTCGATCTCGAGGGCAACCGCGAAGCACGAATGGCACAGGGCAGCAGCCGACACATTCCACCGGAAGGCAACGTCACCCCCGAGACGTCCTCTTGACAAAAGTCATGCTAAACGTGCTGGTCATGCTATCACGGCTTGACCTCTGTTGGTAAAATATATATATATATATATATATATATTTGTGGTCAATCCTCTTATAATTGGCGGGGGGCATCGGCTGGTTCCGGTGCAGTGGCGATCAGACCAAAGGTTATAAATGGGTTTGTTGCACCTCAGATTCTTCGAGTTTTGTCGTTTTCGTCACGGCTGGCTTCCACTTTGACCCCGCTAAAAAAAAAGATTTAACTCATGATCTTTCGCCGAAGAGCTCCACGATCGGCTGATGAAAAAGGGTACGTCCCTTGATCGTTTATGCGGGCTGGTCAGGGCCGCCCAGAGGTTTCCAGGGGCGAAACTAAACCAGAGACCCCTTGGGGGGCCCCCTTGGGGGGCCCCCTTGATAAGCGGGGCCCGGAGCAGATTGCCCCCCCCCCCCCCCCCCCCCCCCCCCTCTGTTCCTGGATTGCATCTGTTGGTCCCACTTATTATCTTTAGACAGTTGAGTTTGCGTCTAGCTTTATTTCTGAGATTAGCAATGTGTTTGGACCAATAGAAGTTGTTCTGGAAGGTGAGACCAAGTGAACAATGGAGGCGATCGAGCCCTATTTATAGAGGACGCGCCCCGGAGCCGACATCCCATTGGTCGGTTCCCCGACGGGGGAACCGACCAATGGGATCGAAGGCATCCTCCCCGCTTCCCGCAGTCCTCGCCCCGGCAGCGTCAGAGGAGGATCTCCCGCTCCCGCGCCGCCCTTGATTGATGGGTTCGGCGAGTCCACAAAAGGGGTTAGCTATTCTCGTCTTCGATATATCGAGTCTCTGCATTCGTGGCGGTATTCGAGCGGAATCAATCACTCGCATGACCCATTGTTTGTGGCTTTTATTACTTTGGATTATGGATTATACTTCGGATCATCTCGTCCTTTCGGCCCTGAAGAAGGAAAAATTCCTCCCATCATCCATCCTTTCGGTATAGATATTGGAAACGGGGTTAAAGCTTGGTTAGGATTCATAGCATAGATGGCAGGTGCGTCTACTCGTAATTAACCGGATTTTCCCATCACATCGACAGAAAATAGACTTGGACGAATCGACGCGAGATGGCGCCTCACCGCCGATCCGGCGATTCCCACCCCGACGCCCCGAAATAAACAGTACCCTGGATTTCTCATGCAGTACCCGATCTTTTCCCACTTACAACATGCGTGAAGGCATTTCTAGATAGACCTGTTCAAGGAGGAAATCCGGGAGAAGGAGACTCTCGGTACTTCCGGCCAGTGGAGACATTTTTCTATTTCTCCGAACGGCACATGCATTTGTTTCACTGGACAAGCGGGAAGCCAGATAATGTTTTCTTGATAGCTGTTAAGCCTAAGTAGCTCTCGGGGCACCCGAAACTCATAAAAAGCCATTATTAAATAGGTAGGAATTAATCACATTTAAAAGTGGGTCCAATCTTTTTCTAGGCCGCTACGGCAACTGCCCCATTGTTCCAAATCAGCTTCTTGCATCTTGCTCGCAGGAGGGGGGAGAAAAAAAAAAAGAAAAAAAAACATGCATTCACACACGTAGAGAATAGAATATGAATTCGCTCGCTGGACAGGAGTGTCAATGCTCAATAGAGTAAATACAAATTACGTACTAAATGTACTAAATTTCAATTTCGATTCAGTAAAGGGAACAAGGCTGTTGTACTCGATAGAGTACTGCTTGTACCATACCATTTGGGTACTCTCCGTGGGGTTAAGTAGGGCTAATTAACGCTCTTTTCAGACTCTGGATGAGGCAGGAGGTACTATAATGCCGGTACTTTCAAAATTCAACTTTGACACAGCGTTGCAGAGCCTCAACTTCTCTCCGTTGGGCTGAGTTTCGTTTCAGCATTGTGGCAAAATTGTAAGTTGAAAAATGAAACCTTTTCTCAAAGGTGACAACGACGCTGTTGTGCCGAATGGGCGTTATCTTGTTTATTTTGAGTCGCAATCAGTTCGTCGACCAGATAATATATATTTTCAGACCTGTATCCATAGAATGAGGAGCGTTGATAGCACGTTATCCAAAGCAAAAACCATAGCAGATGCGATCGCGGGTCGGTCAGTTCCGCGGGGGCCGCATGTTCCGCTCCCGCACCGTCCCGCGGGTGTTTTCGCAGCTCCGCGTAGCGCTCTACTCTGGGGAGGAGGGGGGGGGGTGCCCTGGCTTCTGTATTGGCGTTCAGTGAGGAAAATATTGCAGGAAACTTGTGAAGAGATTTTGAGAGGATAGCTTCGCATTTGAAGCAAAGAAAGGATGTCAATTTATTTGCAAAATGCAAATCCTACGAGTATAGAGCGAGCCTCACGTTTTTACGGACATGACAGCTCAGTAAAACAGAGAATAAAGTCTAAATGCTAAGACCTTATTTAGGCGAAGTATGGGGGTACTTAACCTACAGACCTCCTTTTCCCATGAGTCCCAGGAGTCCATGGCTTTTTAAAAAGATTCAGAATTCGGGCTTTAGACTTTTGACCTTCAGAAAAGTGAAAGCTGTCAAAATTTGATTATCATTATGGTTGTTCCCGCTCTGCTCCATGTGCAGAACCAATTTCTACTCAGATCTATGTTCATAAAATAACAGAAATCCCAGAGGATGAGTGGATGAGGATCACAGAGGATGGGATGGAAGACGCTCGAGGCGATCGAAGATGCGCGACCTTCTGTTATGGCCGCTTGCCGATGTTCGTTTGGGTCCGTTTCGTGACGTAAGTTGCTGCAATCCATGCATAGTTGTGGATCTATGAGTGGCCAAGTTGGATTTATGGACCTTGGATGAGGAGGTGGTTACAATGCCGTCTATACTTTATAATAACAATTGGGGTCTCCTTTGGCAACCTGATTAACTTGAAAGAATTGGGAAGAACGCATTAATGCGTAAGGTCTGACGTTGCACCGTCTCTTATGGAAAGTTAGTGGCAGCAAACCCAGCTGATTACGCTACTTTGATTTAATATTAAGCGAGACCAAAGCCTACTACAAACCACTGTTGGTTCAAGTTCTGCTGAGTTTATATGTATAGCGGACCTTGAAAGCGCTTTTGGACGGAAAGGCATTCGGTGCAGGTTAGGCGCAAATGGATGAAACGTGAGTGGGTCTAAGAGGTGTGAGATGGGTGTCTTAGGGTAGAAGGATGCTTGCAGAGGGGGTTTTTGTGTGACTAAAGTAAGGGAATTGTAAGGTTTTAAGATTTTACTCAAAAAGAACAGAAGAGAGCTGATTTCTAAGGTTACTTGTAGGTGGAAAAGCTGAGGCACAAGAGGGCAGATGAGGTTTTTCTATCCCACTTTCCAGCTGAGCTGAGCAGAGGACATAGGTAGCGGAGGTTGTCAGAGGTAATTGAAAATGATTTGAAGGAAAGAATGCAAGAAAAGCTTTCATTCTTAATGTAGGACACAAAATACATATGGCCAGTAATATTCAGGTTGATGGTGCTGCTCTGATGAACCACCTTCAGCAGTCCTAGGCCTGCCCATTCTGGCACTAGAGCCAATGAAATCATCTCTGAGACTTATATCTAAAAGGCTAGGCTATACAGGACTAACTCTATGTTTAGGTTATCGTAGGTGATATTGTTGAAGGTATGAATTCAATAAACAAATTGTTATGCTTATGCTCCAAATAAGGTAAGTCTAACTTATTTTTAGTCCATGCATTTTCACATGAGAGGTGGTTGATTGCAGCAGGGGTTGGGAACATATTTTTTCAGAGGAAACTGGCTATAAGTATAATGTAGGGATTCCTGCTCAATGCATCTTTTCCTTTCCATTTTAGGTATATACCTTCGGAGCTCTTTTCCTTGTGCTTCAGCGAACTCTTCGTTGTAACCCATTGATGGTCTAAGGATAAAGGGATTAGATTTGAACGTTTTTTGTGCATCAGTCATGTCTCAATGAATTTGCTGTGATGTCCTCCCTCCTGTCTGCTTGGAATCCGAGTAGCCTTCATTGGCTAGGCCAGAAAGCATGGAAAAGAAGTGGATCCCTGGTCCCACCAGCGGGAAGCAGGTTGCTCCTGTTCTTCCCAAATCAGGAAACGGGACCTCCAGTGGACATTCGGGTGGTTCTGAACTCCGGACCAAAAATGGTGTGTTTGTGTTTTACCCCTCATTGGTTGAAGCCACAAGCAAAACATTGCCTTCAGCATAAATGATTTAGCTTTGTTTGATCTTTGGGTAGGTTTGCATGCATCTGCAATTTTAATTGGTTGTCAATAAAGTCTTCGCAAATACCTATCACAGTGAATGTAGCACCTCACTTTCAAGAATAACCTTTAATATGCAAAATGCCATTGAATGTCAACAAAAGAGGATGTGTCAGGATGGGTTCTTTCCTGATTTTATTTGAGTAATTGTAGATGTTCCACTATCTTTGGCTTTTTTAAATTAATCTGGTCAGGATCTGCACATTCAACTTTTCTTTCCCTTCATTTATTTCTAGTTCCCATCATTACTGAATATAAGATTTTTTCACAAGGTGCATTTCCAAACAAAACTTTTGGTTTTTAATGTAAACCAACATACTGCATGAACTGAAACATCTGTCTTAATCATTATCAAAATCATTAGGTCTGAAGGCCTACAGAAGTAGAGTGGCATGTCTTTTTGCATATATTATTATGAAAATTTATTCACTACTTGAGTCTAATTTTGGGGAAAATTTTGGTTCCACGTGGATTTCTTTGAATGATTGCCTGTATTAACCAAAGTATCCCATTCATTTCAATTTGTTCTGCAGGAGAGGGTGTCAGAGGGCGTGATCAGCACTCTAGTGGGAGCAGGTATAAGGAACGAAGAGACCGAAAGAAAGAGGAGAAAAAGGTGAAATGGAATCAATTGGTGAACTTTAACGCAGTGCCGAGGAAGAGGGAATCTCATACACTGAATATTGGGCCGAAGCGAGTGAATCATCACCGGAAGCCTCCTGTTGACAAGCAACTTTGTCTTCAGTCAAGGTATGCAGTTTAGAGAGCATGCTTTATGTAATCACTCTTTTGACCATGGAGCCTTAAAAAAAATGTGGTTAGTTGAGCTCCTGATGTTGGTCAATTGCATGTCCAGGTGCCAATTTATCGTGAGAGAAGAATTTAGGAAGGAATGTGAGGGGCACATGCTAACACCAGATGCACATTTGGACTGGAATCACATCGAGGAAGTGGTGAGAAGCTGTCTCATCAGAATTTTCATATATGGGGGGGGGGGGGTTTTAGCACTCTACAAGATGAAACAAAGATGAACTCTGGGGAGCATATTCTGGGTGCCTTGTATGTTTGGAAACACTCTAAGAAATATTTAAAAAATATATACTTTGTTCATGCAGGATTAATAAGTTAATGAAAGGTTTTCATAGATCTTCTCTATTATTTGTAACTCAACCCCTTGCTATCCTTGGTTATTGCTTCAATGTCATAAAAAGCTGTTCTTTGTCAAGGGTTTTTATGTTCTTCCAATTTTTTTTTTTTTACTTTTACTTTTAAAATTCTGGGTTAATAAAATTGGCTCTGTAACTGAGCATGGTCTACAGTTATTCAAGGTGTCATAAGGCCTAAGACAGCATGTTGAATATCTTTGGTGTGTCTTGCCCTGTTCTGATCACAAGCACCTTGAATCAATTGCTTTTGGTAATAAAAAAATTGCATTGTTTCCATGCTGCATGGCCTTCTGTAACACCCTGCACACCATCTACATTAAAATTGCCCATCCCTTCAGTGCTATCCTGCAGAGGAAGAGACCCTTTCCTGTCCAATATGCCTTGGGTCCTGTCGTGCTGCCAAGATCACCCGATGCGGTCACGTGTTCTGCTGGGCATGCATCCTCCACTACCTGGCCCTCAGTGACCAGCCAAGTCGCAAGTGCCCCATCTGCTATGATGCCATACGGAAAGATGAGTTGAAGAGGTGAGCTGGGTGCTGGGTGTTTTGTTTTTTTATGTGGTCCATCAGTGTTAGATTCCCTTTCTGGAATCAAGTTTTGCTATGCAAGGAACAACATGAAGTTCTTTCCAGGTGTAATCCCCTCTATGCAGTGTTCCCAATAAAAGTTTACTGAGATTTATTCACTAATTGAGTGGCTGAACCTGTCCATTAATCTCATATCTCCAAATCTCTTATTTCCAAAATTCAATGGACTATATGATGCTGTAGTGCATGAAAGATATCTCATGGGAATTCACACCACAAAAAAATATATCAGGACTCTAAAATGGCATGAAAATCATGCAAAGGAGATGTGAAAGTTGGATTCAAGGAAGACTGTCTTTAATTACAGTGGCAGATATATTTTGTCCCTTGTCTGAAATCAGGTTATTCTAACCTAGCAAGGGTTATCCAGGGGTTGCTCAGGTAAGATACTGAATGGTAGCAGGATATCCAGATAATCACTACTCTCCATATATTTACATGGAATATATATTTAATATGGAGGCTTCTCATTTTCTAACCATCTTACTGGGATGAGCTCATCAGTTGTTGAGTAGCATCTTGCAGAACCACATGGGATATGTTGTATTACCTGAACAACATTTTCATTGTCATTATCATCTCTCTCAATGATCTGATGGTCTCACATTCCCCACAGCATCAAGTGTCGAGCAGTGAAGACACCAAAGGTTGGAGAGGAGATGGAGTTCCAGCTGATGCGTCGCAAGCGGGGCTCAGGGATCACTGTGCCCGTGGAGACCTATGACTCGACATTCAAGGATACTGTGGCCATGCTTGATGGTGCATCTGTCCATGCTCACATTCTCCTTGCCTCTTCTGCTCAAGTGAGCTGCCTCTATAATTATTCAAAATGAATGCATTGTTAAGCTACTTGTGCTCAAATTTTAGACACTATTGCCATTGCTTCTTCTTGCACAGCTATGTGGTTCATTTTCTTTTTAGAAGCATGAACAACTGAGTAATGAAATGGCTTGTGAAAGAGTTGTCAGATCATTTAAATAAATCCAAAAACAGCTCAAAGACTGTCTTATTGAATTTTGTTTTGTTGAAGTTTTACAAGTATGTCTATGACTATAAAAAAATAACATGAAGTTTTACATGTGTACGGGTGACTAGATTTGCATGTCTTTTCATATACTTGTGGGTATCATCATTTAAAAAGAACAAGACCTTCAAACTGCTTGTCACTTTGAGACTCTGAGTCTTTTTTTTTTAATACCTTGCTGTTGAACATTTTAAATCTAGTTTTAATGTTTGTAGGTGATTGGAAAAGTGGTTGGGAGGGAACAGCTGGAGCTGGAGGAGCAGTTGAAAGAGGAGGAGCATGAGCCAGAAGCAGTATTTGTGCAGGAAGCCCTGAAACTTTTGGAAGAAAGACAACATGCTTTGGAGAATGTGCGTCTCACCATACTCCTCTCCCTTGTATTTCTGCAAATTTGGAAGATTATTTTGTTTTTTTTTTAAATCAGAAATTCAACATCAGTCTTGGAGGCAGAAGGTGTGAATCACACAAGGATGTATTCAGACAAAGATTCTTTCACATCTCTTTTGTTGCACATGTTTGGTCTTACAGGTTTAGTCTTCCAAAAAGAGAACGATTGGACTGTAAAACATTCTTTGGACTTTATAATATTGCTCTTGAAATAAAATGTAGAACATTCAGGTCTCATCAGGAAATTATGTTATGTAGTGGCATCACCCTTTATTAATGAAGGTTTGAAAGTGTTACCCATCAATCCAAGAACTTCTACTTTATGCTAATTGTCTGTTTCTCTTTTCTGTACCTCTTTTTGTTTCGTGTCTCATTCGGTGTTCTGGTATCAAAATTGAAAAGACTAACTTTTTTATCCTCCTTTCCAGGGATTGAAATTGGCAGAAGTAGAGGCATTGGATACACTCCTGAGAGTGGCAGAGAAGGAGATGCTTCTGTCCACCTCCCCAGCATCATCTGAAGAGAATGTTCCTGGCCGCCCACGAGAAGTCTTCTACTTCTATCAAGGTCTGAAGTTCCCCAACATCTCTTTCAGAGTAGTATTGTCTCTATTTTTCTAAGCACTGGATATTATAAGGACCCTTGGGGCAGTTAATTCAGGAGCAGGTATTGGTTAAAAGGGAGACTGATCTACACTGCATCAATCATAATCAATTCACATTTATCATTGGTATTCCCAAGATGTTACTTGTCAAGATGGTGTTTTATTTCAAGGTGATGTTTGGGAATGTAAGGGGGAAGGGTTGGGTCTGTTATGAAATGAACAACTCAATTTCTTGTTTCATGTAATTGTCAGACTCTATTTTTGAAAACTGTAGTTAAAGAGGTAATTGATGGATAACCAATCTTCTTGAGAGCCTTTTGTCCACAGGTTTTTCTTAGTAGAAAGTACAGCTATATGCTTTTGGATGAATGGGTATATGTTCAAAAAAAGTTTGATTGTGAGAGTTTGAACAATCAGATTTGGTACTTAGTACTTCAGCATATCATTTTTGTTTGAAGTTCAGTTGTTAAGCCAAGGTATTTACTAGAAATTGTCATTATTTTAATGGAAGCCTTCAGGGGTGATTAGGAGCCACAGTAAAAATCTAAAACCTAGTCTTTAGTGCAAACAGGCTGAAATTTGCAGTACTTTTCCCTAACCAACTGTTGTGGGGCACTTTGCAGGCCAGACAAAATGGATTGGTGGGGTGGGTCTGACCCACTGGCCAGTTTCACACCCACATTTTAGTTTCCTGTTAAAAAAATTTTCAGTTTCTACAGGAAGTAATTTGTTAAAGTTTCTCTCATGAATGGAACTTCATGATTGAATATAAGAGACATTTGCTTTGGAAAAGTTCTTTGTTGAAGCTGCAACAAATGAATTCATCTGCAAGCTGCACTTGCAGAGAAGAAAGGCTAACTTGGCATAAAGGCTGGCTGATTAACCCTTGCTTTTTTATGTCAGATGTAAGTTGTTACTGAGCATTAATTGTCCTTGCCCAATCTCATATTTTTCATCATTTCCTTTAGCTGTAGATGGGCAGAAGGTGTACCTTCAGGCAGTGAACGTTCACATGTTGGAAGCCCAATATGGGGCACTGGAGAGGTGTCCCCCTCGTGTCAAAGGCCAGGTCGTGGAGATCGAGGAGCAGACGATGACGGAGGACCTCCGCTGGAGAACCAGATATCTCCAGCATCTCCCACTTCATGCTTCATTTCGCACCGTTGAGATCAATCTTCTGCCACCGATTGTGTCTCCTCGTGTCATCCAGGGCTTCTACGGTTGGTTGAAATTAATCCTTGACATTGAAATTAGTAAGTTATTGAAATTAATAAGGTCATAATATTGAAATTAGTAAGTTCATATACAGGGTGCCCAGAAATCATGTAAAATGATTCCCAGCAATTCCAAGTCATCTCCCAGACAGCCCTATTGCAGTTCCTGAGAATGCATTAATGCTCACCATGAATTTAGTCAAATTTTCAATTCGTTGAATTTATCCTGATGTACTTGTTGAGCCCCACAATGTAATGCATTGATGTGAAGGTATAAATTTGAGAAAGTAAAAGCAATTCATCATATTATTGCCTAGGCAAACCTCAGCCTTTTTTGTTTGTGGTAAAGGAGGAATGACCATCATTTCCTGTCTATGCTGCTTAGATAGAGTTTCCTTATGCAAAATAAATTTTTATGATCCATTTTTTGCTGCATAAGTCTTAAAAAACCAATGGATGTCAAATTAATCTTGGATGTACTTCAAATGAGTGGCTTTCCCAAAAGTATCGACAAAAGAGGTACAGATAGCATTTAGGTGCACATAAGTTACATTGTTTTTATCATTTCCTTTTGAACTAAATCCTAAGTTGTCAATTTTTTTGTTATTTTACCAGTGTGTCTTTGTTGTGAAGCAGTTTTTCAAGGAAGGATTAACTGATTATTATCATTTGTATTTTAAAATTTATTTTGACTTGTAGACTGGCTGGAGAAGCGAAGACGAGACCGAAAGAGAAAGGAGAAGAAGGAGGAACGAGCAGAGAAGCGAAATCGTCCCCGTCAGGACTCCGAGTATCAGGAAGATCCCACCTCATTCCCACCAGTCCTATCCCAACTTGATCAACCAAACATCCCCACAGAGGATCCTGCTCTTCCTGAACCCCTTGCGTGAGTGCTCACTCCCATTTCCAATTCCTTCAGGCTTCCTAAATACCTGGAAATGTTAGAGACCTAATTTACTGAAAAATTTTGGATGATTTCTCAGAGTTAAAGGAAACTCTGGAAAATTTGCAAATTTACATAATCTTTTTTTCACAAAGGAAGTGAACATTGGTGTGAGGAAGGGTGTTAATGATAATGCTGTGTTTGTTACATGGATCATCAGGGGAGTCTATCCTTGGATTAATATGGGAGACTTACATTTACTTTTCAGGATGGAATCATCTTGAAATCAGCATGCTTTTGAGTCTAAACCGAGCAAGAGCATAATTTATTCTACTTCACTGTCATGTAATCCTTTATTGATGATATGACTCATTGTGGTCTCAGCTCCATACTTAGGTGTTCTTTACCAGTGGTGGTGAAATATGTACACTGCCTTTTCTTGTATTAAAGATTTCATAGTGTTTTCTTTGTTCTATAGAGAGGCGAAGGCAGAAGAGCAAATAGAGGACATCAGTCCAGTGGACATGAAACCTACTTCTTTTGCACAGGTATGATACTAAAATCATTGTGGATTCTGAACTTTAATTCTTACCCAATTTTTTGGAGGCTGGCATTGAACTTAGATGTGCTTGACATTCTACCTTTGCAGATCCTTCGTGAAGGGAAGAAGCAAGAGGGGAAGGACCTTGAAGTGAAAGAGGGTCATGCAGGTGAACGAGATGGGCAGCAAATACGTGCAGGATCGAGTGTGGATGACGATGAAGGAGGGGGAGATGGGTACTTGGCATCTCCTCCCTCATTTGGCGACTTCTTCTCCCAGGCCTTCCATCAGCTTTCTCTTCAAGGTCTCCTCTTTTCCCTTACTCCAGAGCAATGGTGCAATTTAAATCTATCTGCATCCAAGTCACTCTTTTTGACCATCTGCAGTAATCACTATATTTGATCCAGGATGGGGCCAAAGTAAGAGTACTGTGTGGGCTGGAGTGGGACATTCATAAAAGACGTTGACTTGGGATGTTATACTTTGTCCTGTGAAGTGTTTTGGGCTGATAAAGAGCAAACATTTGTTCCATCTCTAATTCCCTTCTTATGCAGGTCTCCCATGCACATCTGTAAATTCTGTCATGGCATGGCTGTTAACATACATACATTCTAATGGCATAATGTAACTGAATGAATTGAAGGGTTGCTGCACTACAGTTTCTCTTGTCAGCCATTCAGGATTTGCATGTGCTATGTTGATCTATGTAATGATTCATCATTTATTTCTCCATCAGCAGCAGTTTTAAGTAAATAAACATTTTTTGCTGGGTATTTGTTTCTCCTTTAAATTCGTTTGTAGAAATTTAGGCCATGAAGATTAAAGTTGTTGCTCCAAATGGCCTATGAATATTTTCTTCCTGGTATATCTGAGTCATCACATGATCATTTGACCTTTGCAGGAGAAGAAGGCCAAGAGCCAGAGGAAGTATTGCTGCAGCAGCAAGACAAGAAGAAGAAAAAGAAGAAAGGTCGTCTCCTGTTTCGCACCACGCTGGTCCGCAGCGATCATCCATAAAAGCCTTTTTTTTTTCTTCCCCATCTTGATGTAACATTCTTCATCTTCCATAAGAGTTCATCTTCTTGTGAACACTATTTACCACTCTTAAGGACTTCCCGGTGTGTGTCCTTGCTTGTGTCTTATTGCGTTATGAGTTCTTTTTCTTCTTAGCATTCATATGGAACCTGTTGAGCTTGTCATTCACCTTGTGGTATTATTGTTGAGATGTTCTTAGAGCAAACAAGTGATAGCATGGAAATATAAACTCCATTGTGATGAAATATTTTTTTTTGAAAATACGATTGCCAGAAATCATGCTCATATTTTGGCTTGAAAGTAATACCAGCTGCCAAGTATTAACAGACATGATTTCTGGCCCACTCTTTATTAGTTTCCTTCGTGTTGATTCAGTTTTGAAAACATTAGTGTAAAAGCTAATGGACAACTATCTGCCATGAAAGGAACTTGTACTCGGCTGGATTTGCCATTGCTGCTTCCTTTCAATTCAGTCTTCGTTACACTCGTTTTCCCTTTCTGCTTACTATCTGTTTTGGTTGCAGGTACCAAAAGATTGCTTAAGAAGCAGAAATGGTGGGTATTCTTCATTGTGTCAGACACAAACTGGCATGCAGAATTCTCTGTGATGATTCTTGCTCCAAGTTTATCTTATCCAGAGTGTGCAGGATCTTTTGTTGATGGATTGAGAGTCAATGCCAAGGACCATATAACTGGATTTTGCCTCCCTAGGCAGTGAAGCTATTGGACCATATCCTATTCCATTAGAACTTGGACTCTCAATGCCATTAGCTCTCATTATCCATTTTGAGGTGGAACCTCTGTTTTATGGCGTTAATTTGTTTGATGAGGACAGTGAGAAATTTGTGCAGCTTACCATAATTTTCAGGAAAGGTTTGAACGCTTGGCTGCTCTGGAATTGACCAGATATTGTTTAACCAGTGTGCATTTCAGTTAAACGATTATTACTCGAAGTTTTCCTACCAGCCCATGTGCGTGATAGAATTCTTGCACGTATCTATCGGGAAGATAGTGTACGCAAAAAGAGAGATAAGCCCTGATAGGAGAGTCATGTGATTTTGACTCGAACCACTCAGGAGAAATCAGGTGCGCATTCCTCTTCTTTCTCTTGAGCACTCAATGCTATCCTCTGCGTCGCCTGATCGTCGAGAGTCTTACCAAAGCGATATCGAAAAGGGAATATCCAACAAATTCCATGAAATACAGGGAATCTCCCCCGGACGTCCATGCGGCCTTCCCCCCCCCCCCCCATCCCCTCCATTCAGATCCGAGAGAAGGGAGGATTCCGAGAATCGACATCCCTCGCGCCGTACATTCCCACGGGGTCGGGATGCAGGTGCCTCTCTCCCAGCGGCCCTCCTGCTAGCGATCCACAATCGAAGGTCCAAAGAGACTGAATGAGCTTCAGCCAGCAGTATACTAACGGGAATTTTTGGAGTTTTAAGAGGTCTAAATTGATTAATGGTCTAAGTTAACGTTTTATTGAAGGTGTTAACCGTAATGGAAGCTCTAGGAAAATAGGAAAGGAATCAAATAATGAAAGGACTTTTTCAGAAAAAGGTGAAGTTCTTTTCCGAGAATAATATAGAATTGCTTTAAATCAGTGGTGCACAACCTTTTCCCCCAAGAGGGCCAAATTGTGATTTTGGCTCATATTTGAGGGGCTAAAGGGCTGCACGCCCTCGAACATGAGCCAAAATAGGCCGCATGTAAATATGGATCTTTAGAGACCGGAGGCATGCGGCCCACAGCCCGTAGGTTGTGCATCACTGCTTTAAATGCTTCCTATTGGCNAAGGGCTGCACGCCCTCGAACATGAGCCAAAATAGGCCGCATGTAAATATGGATCTTTAGAGACCGGAGGCATGCGGCCCACAGCCCGTAGGTTGTGCATCACTGCTTTAAATGCTTCCTATTGGCCCTTTCAGAAATATCGGACCCTTTTTTCTTAGTTTCATTTACCTGCAAATGGAAAGGACAGGTGTGTGTAGCTGAATGAAGTGAATAACAATAGTTATCTTTCTTTTTATTGCAATTTTCTATTAATATGAGTTTTGTTATTCCTGCGGAATGCTTGTCTCGGAAAGTTTTCACGACGAAGAATAAGGAAGCCGATGAAAGAACGCTGCACCGTCGAAGACCAGTGGAAGAGCGGGATCCCAACGCCTCGCTTTCACTTCCGCGACGTCTTGGAGTAGGTGGTGGTGGTCGATGTCGTCACGGACTTGACTCTTCCTCCGCGGGCCCCGATGTTTCCCGACCCGCAACCACCTCTCTCCCCCAGCTTCGTTGTGGTGGTCGTGGTCGTGGTCGTGGTCGTCACGGTCTTCCCGCCTCCCGCGCGGCCCACAAACTTCCCGTGACCGAAGCCACCTCTCCCGCCCAACTTGGCGGACGTCGTCGTCACGGACCTGCCTCCTCCCCCGTGGGCCACAAACTTCTTGGCCCCGCAGCCACCTCTCCCACCCCATTGCGCTGTGGTCGTGGTCGTCGTCGTGCAACTCACTCTCCCCCCTGCGAGCGGAGACGTCAGGTAACGCGATTATCGTATCTCGTCTCTCTAATTTTGAACCATTTTCTTGCTGGACATTTCCCCGTTTCCCCGAACTTTTTTCGTCTCGAGACCAGATCGTTCCACGCTGGAGAAAAACTTGCTTTACGGAATCGCGGAGCCAGTCACATACAATACCTGGTTCGTAAATGAGTGAAACGTGAGGGAAAATTCCCTTGCTTCAGTTCACACGAGGAAAGTGCTTTTACAAGGATATTATATCATTATTCTACTCTTTCGATTATTAATGTGTCAAAAACGTTGTTAAAATATATTTAACTCGATTCGGTATGTAAACACAGTGAACCTAATTATTTCCACTAATTATAACGAGTCTAGTGTTCTGGATCGCGACGAGCAAAATATCAACGACCGAAGAAAACGGCGGAATTCTGCGGGCTTAGGTCATTCCTTTCTCTCATTTCTCTTCATCGAGTCTAAAAATCACAACAGAATCTATATGAGTTTTCATGCATTCATTTCTACCCAGTGAAACTGGAACGCGAAAATTTGATCTGCAAAAACTTGATCGAAATCGGAGACAGTACGATATTTATTCCAAACAATTTCAAGCGATTCCTTTTTTATTATTACCTTTTATTGAATTTCTTACCCGACTTGACCTTCGCCTTGTTCCCAGCCGTATGCATGGGACCTTGCCTGACGCACTTGGACGTGGCTGGAAACTCTCTCGTCGAACTGCGAAACGAATCCACTGAGAAACCACTGCATGCGCTGCTGTCCCGTCGAGTTCACCTAATCGATGCGATAAAAAGAAAGATAACTATTGTTATTCACTTCATTCAGCTACACACACCCGTCCTTTCCATTTGCAGATAAATGAAACTAAGAAAAAAGGGTCCGATATTTCTGAAAGTNAGCAGGAAAGATGAGTTATTGTAATCGGGAACACACCGGAATAGGTGTTAGGAACGCCTTGAAAAAGGCTCTTCTAGCCCGCAGTTGGGGCATGAGAAGGTAGTGGACTCATTGCTAGCTGCGGCGAAAACCTCGCGGAACTGGTATTCTTCTCTTCCCCAATCCCGTGCAGAATGTAGCGAACAACAGCGTCGGTTCGTGAGGCGTCTTCCGTTTGATTACAATTTTGATGGTTATGTTTTCCATATATATATTCATGGATTGATATAAGAGGGCTAGGACATGCATTCCTTTGTGCGTGGCGTGTAGCACTCTGTGTGCCAGCCGTGTTAGCTGTTCTACGGTTGAACCTTCCTCGGCGAAAGCGAGCTGTGAAGCTGGGATTCTACTCTTCCCTAATCCCGTGCACGGCTGTAATAAAAAGCTTAACTTACGCATTTAATGATTCCCTGGGTCATAAATTATAAATATATACATTATAATTTAATGCTTTCCATATATATATTTATGGATTGCATAATAAAAAGTGGAAGGATGGTAAGAAAATCTAATACTCTATCAAGAAAGCCATGCTTAATAGAATTTGTAGGATGCAGGGAACAAGGGTTCCATCTAGTTAGGAATCTTGGTACTGCAACTGCAGGATGGTCAGCTAATGTTTCATTTGGATGGTGTGGCGTTAATTTTGCATAAAATTGATATGATGTACTTCACGTCAAATGGAGTGACATCTTTTTTTTAAAATGTAAAATACATGTTCAATTTGGTGACAGTAAATACAGGAACTTAAATTTTACATAAGCGTGATGTCATTTTCATTGCAATCGGAAGAAATTTGCACTGTTTGCAAAGAATTGATCTTTTGTATACGTAAACGTGCTGCTTGGGCCGGGGCCATGGAATCGCCTCGACTTGCAAGCTTTCAAAATTGAATGCGATGCTCTTTGGATCTGGCCTGACTGGTTGAGGGAAATTGCGCATCTCATCGGATCTGGAATGACGGGACGTGGTTCACTCGCGATTCGATGTCCGCGTGCACACGCATATTTCGCATCCAAGGTGAAGGGATGAGATGGGAGGTCATTTTCGAAAAAAAAATAGAGAAGAAATTGAAGTGAATAATGAGTAGCAGAATGTAGCGAACAACAGCGTCGGTTCGTGAGGCGTCTTCCGTTTGATTACAATTTTGATGGTTACGATTTACTGTTAATCATCCCATGGAATACTTGCGTCGAGGATCATCGTCACGAAGGCAATAACTCCGGAGAGGAAAAAAAGTCATTATATTAATGAATGAGGAAGAGAAAAGGAGAATGGAACTTCGCGATGAACGACAGTGGAAGAATGTGATACTAGCGCATCGCTTTCACTTCTTCGGCGGCCTCGTCTTGGAATAGGTGGTCGTGTTCGTGGTCGTCTCGGACTTGCCCCCTCCCCCTCGGACCCCGAGCTTTCCAGACTCGACGCCTCCGCTACCACCCCATTTCTTGGTGTTGGTGGTCGTTATCGTACAGCTCGCACTCTCCCCTGTGGGCGGAGGCATCAATATCGATATCAATTTGTGATGAATTCTCGAGGCGGTCTTTTTCTTTTTTTTTTTTTGTTTAAGTCTCGAGCTCCCTGTGTTAAAGTCCTACACGGCCGATTTCTTTGAACTCGATCCAATCTGCCCAGATTCAAGTCTTGGTCCATATTCGACACGAAACCTGAACGCCAACCAAACCTCTCCCCGAGTGACAAAGAAATCAGAAAAATATAAATGAAGATAAGAGACGAAATTCCTATCTTTCCCTATGCCATGATGGGCACGAAGCATGGCGTTTTGAATTCCGTGCAATGACACCGATATGTAACGGGACAAAGAATGTCACCATGATTCTCGTAGCATTAGACCTTCCTACCATATGAGGATCTGATGTAACATTTTTGTTGTTTGGGGAGAGGAGATCCCTATGTGTCAAATTTAATGAGAAATGTGGACGAGGTGATTTTTGAAAGAAGTACTGCGATTCATCGTTGCATGACGCTTCCTCCTCGGTACGGTCGTCCAACAGAGCCAAAACATGATGTATGTCATTCATATGAGGAAGACGAAGCCGATAGCGATAAGAGGCAGTCGTTTGGGATCGGTTTCATTTAATAAAAGCTGAGTCGCGTCTGAAAGAACTTGCGGACTCTGATTCATTGCCGTGCCTTTACCTCGTTAACCGTTTTAGCTGTGCGACTCTTGACCCTATCCAGGGCCACTTTATCGCCTTTACTTGCAAGCTTCCGAAAATGAATACGGTGCTCTCAATGGGGTTTGAGAAGTTGAGGGAAAACGTCGGATCTCATCGGATCGGGACGAAGTTCCTGTTGGTCTCGTGTAATCTTCGTACTCCCGCATCCCAGGCGAAGAAACGGGATGGGAGGGCATTTTCCATCTCCAGTCAGAATGGCAGTCCGATTCCCGATTGCGACACCGAGCACGAAGAACTGAGGTATTTTTTGTCGTCGGACTGACTCCTAGCGCTCAGAATCTGAGAGCTCGTGAGCGCACACTTGCAATCGTACCATTCGTACTACACCGGACGAAAGATGCTTTCCCGTCTCGTTCCCTCGCGTGACTGAAGTAAGTTACACTTCCCGCCAGACTTCCTGTCGCGAGTGGCGCTCTATTTACATTGAAAGTAATTTTCCCCTCGCGACAAACGAATGCAGTTCAATGAGTGCAATGGAAGTAGGGAGAGATAAACGAGAATAGGAAGACACATTCCGTTTCCTTTCCGGTAAGATCTTTCCTGCCTCGGCCACAGTTGAGGGTTCTGTACCAGTTCCTTCCTCAGCTTATTCAGGAAAAGGGGGGGAAATGGGGGGAAAAAATGGATTCTTACCCCCGGGATGCACCTAGAAAATTGATAAGTTTCCAAAATTTAATAGACAACGTCCCCGAGGAGGAATATGATCCCATGAGAAGAATTGCAAAAGCGAGATTTTCATGAACTCTGTGTACCGAGGACTTCTCCAGCACCAAATTTAATTTCATTCATTCAAGAAAACAGAAAGGGAGAAAAAGAGAAGTGAGCAGGAGATCAGCCTTAAAAGCAGTGATTCCTTGTGGGATTGGGATAGTTTGAAGGAAAAAGATGAAAACGTGTCATAAAGAGTCAGACGAAGAATCAAAAGAGTCGGAAGTATGTGAGATGGAATGAAGAGGGAAGGGAGGGAATCTGTATTGAGTGAAATGAGAGAGTGTATGGGAGGAATGTAGAAAAACCAGAGAGGGCATGAGGGAAGACTAAATTATAGCGTTAGGATATAGAGAATGAGAGATAGGCAGAGACGACTTGACAAGGGGCAGAATGGAAAAGTAAAGTCAGACTCAAATGGTGCGTGAGACTGAAACGTGGGAAAGTAGGGGGGATGAGAAGAGTGTGTGAGGGAAAGCAAGGGGTGAGCGAGTTGAGGGGGAGGAAGTGATCAAGAGTGTGGAGAAGAGTTGAATGGAAGTGGAAGAAAAAGAATGAAGTCGCGAGAGCAGGAAAGATGAGTTATTGTAATCGGGAACACACCGGAATAGGTGTTAGGAACGCCTTGAAAAAGGCTCTTCTAGCCCGCAGTTGGGGCATGAGAAGGTAGTGGACTCATTGCTAGCTGCGGCGAAAACCTCGCGGAACTGGTATTCTTCTCTTCCCCAATCCCGTGCAGAATGTAGCGAACAACAGCGTCGGTTCGTGAGGCGTCTTCCGTTTGATTACAATTTTGATGGTTATGTTT